GCGTACTCGGTGACCTCCCGCAGTATGATCGGCATGTCAGAAGGCATCCATGCGAAGACATCACGATTGGCGTGTAGGAAATCGATGAGCTCGCATTCATATTTAGCCAGGAGCTGGGTCTCGATCCGCACCGTCTTGATAGGGTCAGTGGGGTCGATTCCCAATGCCTTGGTTTCCTTGAGTGGGCGGAAGGCCATTGAGGAGGTTGATTTGTTGCAGTCCGGGACTGCTGGGGTTGATGACTCCCTAAACCGTGGGAGTTTGGACGAGTTGATGACGGCGGTGGCGAGCTCGAAATGTTCGCGGTCGCACATGAAGGCATGCGAGAAGGCACTACCCACAGTGACGATGCCATTTGGTCCTAGCATCTTCAGCTTGAGGTAGGTGTAGTTGGGGATCACCATGAATTTAGCGTAGCATGGTCACCCCAAGATAGCGTGGTAGGACCTTGGCAAGTCCACCACTTCGAAGGTGAGGACCTCCGAGTAGAAGTTGGCTCGGTTGCCAAATGTGACGGGTAGGTCGATCTGCCTTAGCGGGTATGCCTGCGCTCCTAGGATCACACCGTGCAAGGGAGAGCCTGCTAGGCAAAGTTTCGACCGGGGGATGCGCATGGCGTCGAGGGTGTCGACGTAGAGGATGTTGAGGTCGCTGCCTCTGTCCATCAACACCTTGGTGAGGTGCTTCTTGTGGATGATGGGGTCAACGACGAGTGGGTAGCGTCCCGGTCTGGCGACATGGGAGGGATGGTCCCTCTTATAGAATGTGATCAAAGATTTTGACCAGCTAAGGAAGGAGGGGATGACCATCTCAGCGGCGCATGCCTCTCTGTAGTGTAGCTTGTGCTGGTGCTTAGAGCAGATGGCATCGGATCCCTCAAAGATCATGATGCATTCATCGGGTCAGGGAAGCTGTCCCTATCCTTGCCCACCATGCCTCCTTTCTTGGCTGCCGCCTCTTTGCCGTCTCCTTCTTTTGGCCCGTCGGCCTGTCATAGGAAATCATTTAAGGAGCTTATAGTCCTTGTAGAAGTGTTTGACGGGGTAGCCATGGTTGGTGCACGGGCTATCCATGAACTTGTTGAAGTGGTCAGGCAGGCCCTGCTGGGGCTGCTTGCCCGCACGATCAGCTACGGACGACCAATGTGGTGTTGGCCGGTCGGCGCTGATCATTTTTGTTCTTCTTGCCCCTCTACATGGAGGGGCCCTCGTCTTGGTCCTCACGCTTGGCCTTGCCTTTGTCCCGGCCACCATTGAATACTGCTCTGACCGCCTCCTCACCAGAGGTGTGGTTCATGGCGATGTCGAGCAGGTCGTGGGTGGTATGGGCTTCAGGCAACCTAGCTTGTGGATCAGGGACTCACAGGTTGTCCCGGAGAGGAATGTGCTGATGACGTCCGCGTCGACGACATCAGGGAGGGAGTTGCATTCATTGGGAGAACCTACGGATGTAATCCTGCAGGGACTCGCTGGGCTCCTGCTGGTAGCTCTTGATGTCCCAGGAGTTACCAGGGCGGACATATGTCCCTAGGAAATTTCTAACAAAGATCCTCTTGAGGTCTGCCCAGTCGCGGATCCTATCGTGCGGGAGGAATTCAAGCCATGCCCGAACATGTTCCCCCATGCAGATGGGGAGATATTGAATGATTTAAAGGTCATCATCCACCCCTTCGGCTCAGCAGGTGAGCCAGAAATCTTCGAGCCATATACTGGGGTTCGTCTCCTCGGTGTACTTGGCGATGTTGGTGGGCAGTCAGAAGCGCTATGGGAATGGCGCTCTCTGGATGCGTCGGCCAAAGGCCCATGGTCCCGGGCCATCCAGGCTGGGACTTCGGTCGTCTGGACGGCGACCATGCCTGTGGCGTGTTTCACTGCTCCCCTCGATGGTCCTACCGGGGCCCATGTTGCCTGCCCTCACTGCCTCTCGATGGACGTTATCATCATGCCAGGCCTGATGCCGATTGCTGATGATGCTACGAGCGTCTTGGTTAGGACCAAGCCGTTCGCGTATCAGCGGCCGGTGTGGAGCAGGCATTGGGCCGGACTGCGGTGCAGCTGCAGCCTCCTATGTCGCGCTTAGCGGCTGTAGCGGTGAGCGGATGGAGCGATCCATCTGGTGCGTCCCAACTCCCCTGGTGGGGAGAGAGGCCGTGAGTCAGAGTCACGATGCGGAGCTTTCCGCCTATTGAACTATGGCAGCTTCCACCAGCGCCTAGAGGTTCCAGTGGACCGCCCGCTCCTAGGGGTCGACGGGCTCGGGAACGCCGTGCAGAAGCATTGCGGCAGCGGTGATATTTTGGCTAGCACGAGCGAACTATGGGGGATCATTCCCCTCGTCCATGATGTCGGGCTGGACCTGGTGGGCATGACCTCGAGCGCCGCTCGTCGGGTCACATGCATGGGGCGCAACATGCTGCACCGAGCACGTTGGCGTAGGTGGCGGCTGGTTCTGCTGCCGTTGTCCTAGCTCCTCGCCGTGCTCTTGTGTGAGTGCGAGGGCACCCGCACAAGGGTTTGGAGTGGTGTGAGTCTGCAAGGACTCCGCTACCACCGGCGGCTATCCCAGAGTGTCCGCCATAGTGCACTCCTAGGACAAACGGTGGCTAGGTGCCACGTCGCTGATGCTGGTGCCGTCGCTCTCAACCTCGTCATCCAGGAGTTCATGGAAAGTGGTGGGAGCATAGCTTGCCATTCCCATGAATTCAGATGTGAGAGGGGGCAGCGCCAGCGTCCTTTAGAGCCCCCGAGCGTACGCATCCATGGGGGACATGAGGTCGTAGGGGAACCGGTCATGCGGTGGTTGCGGTGTGGACAACGCGGTCCCTCCAGATAATCGGTGGAAGATAGTAAATAGCGAGTAAATAACAGCATGTACATTACTCACAACGGGGTTTCAGCTGAGCATTTGCTCGAAATGAAGCACAGGCGCCTCATCATTGAAGTCGTTGGGTGTCCCAGAGCAGATGGAGGGCGCCCCTCCGATGGGTGCTGGAATAAGTGCCTCCTCGCGGAGGTGTAGTACGCCGAGCCGGTCGGCGATGAAGTCCAGGCTTTCAAAGAGGAAGGCCGAGGATGGCTCGAAGACGGGTGGCCCCTGCATCCCAACAGGTGGGAGTGTAGGGAACCCTAGTGAGCCAAAGCGACTCATATCGCTTGAGCCTACCATGGCGAAGGTGGCAGAAAAGTGGGCCATCCGATGACCAAAAGTGTGAACGTACAGTGTCTTCCCCACGAACGGCGCCAACTGTCGGTGTAGAAAGTGACCAACACGTAAATAGTTGTAGTTTTGCTATACGTTGTGATCAGATGTGGCCTAGCACTCAATGACACAGGGTTTATACTGGTTCAGGCAACGTGCCCAACGTCTAGTTTGAGTCGGTCGATGACTTTATTCCTGAGCCTAGGTGCTCAAAGTTTGCTGTGGGGTTACAAATGAAAGGGAGAAAGATGGGGGTGCAAGAGGCCCGGTCGGACTCTGGTCTAAAGGGCCAAGAGTGACGGGAGCTCCTACGTGTGCTGAGTGTTTGAGTGTGTGCGCGAGGTTTGAACTTAGTGGTTCTGCTGTTGTGCGTGAGTGAACTCTGGGGTCCGCTTGTTGGGAGAGAGCGCATCCCCTTTTATAGATGAAGGGGATGGCCTTACAAATGAGAGAGAGAGAGTACATATGCTACTAAGCCTTATTGCCCACGTCGTCGGGTACAAGATGATTGTAGGCGCCCATAACACTGTCGATGTCAAACGCATGTGGGAGGTTTTTACCGTGTTCTCCATGTAGGGCAAATGACGGCGCCTACAAAACTGTTGGTGCCTAAAGGCATGTGGAGGGAGCCTTACCATGTTTGTCATGGTGTGGGAGTTGATGGCGCCCACAACACTGTAGGGCAAATATCGACGCCCACAACACTGCTTGGGTTCTGGCATACCTGGAAGGTTGCAGGGCACCCTCCTGACATGTCATGTTGGTTACTATCCTACAGGTGTGCATGGTTCAGTCCTCGGTATTGCGGTTGACTTGAGTGCCCTGCCTTACTTGCTCCATCCTTGTCCTGATCCTTACCGAGCGGGCGTCCTCGGTCGATTGGTCGCAGTTGGCTCTGACTGCGCTAGTCGGAGAAGAGCTGTAAGTAGGGGTTCGGTGCATCCTCGGTCAGAGAGGCGGGCCGGAGTTGGAAGCGAGCGTTGTTCCTCTTTTGCAAGGCCTTCCGGTGGAGAGGCGGGCTAGAGCTGGAAGCGAGCGTTGTTCCTCCTTAGCGAGGTCTTCTGGTCAGAGATTGGATCGCCCTTCTGGCCTATCATTTAGGTATTTGGGCCGGCCCAGGAGTTGTGCGTCGTTCGCAACGTCATCTGCTAGGCCGAGCCTTTGCTGAGAAGCCGGTCCATGAGGGACCTCGGGTTTATGAACCCGACATCATCCATACTAGCACATTATAAAGCTAATAATTTAAAATGAGGAGCAATAGGGGTACTAACAGACTTTGCATCATGCATGTTGAAACAATGAAGAACTTTCTTAATGTAACTTTGTTGACTAAGAAATAACAAACCAGAATTTCTATCTCTTGTAATCTCCATACCTAGAATTTTCTTAGCAGCACCAAGATCCTTCATCTCAAACTCACTACTCAATAGTTTCTTCAATGTAGTGATTTCTTTCTTACTCTTGGCAGCAATCAACATATCATCAACATATAACAGCAAGTATATAGGTGATCCATCAATAAATTAATGTACACATAGCTATCAAATTTAGACCTCTTAAAACCATGTGACATCATAAAAGAATCAAACCTAGTATACCATTGACGAGGAGACGGTTTCAAACCATATAAGGACCTCTTTAATTTGCAAACATGATCCTCCTTACCAGGTACTATGAACCCTTCTGGCTGGTCCATGTATATCTCCTCCTAAAGCTCTCCATGTAGAAACGTAGTCTTTACATCTAACTGCTCAAGCTCAAGATCTCGCATAGCAACAATACCAAAAAATGTACGAATTGAACTATGCTTTACAACTGGAGAGAACACACCATTATAATCAACACCAGGAGTCTGACTGAAACCTTTTGCTACTAACCTTACCTTAAATCTTTGAGGCTCACTGGGAGATAAACCCTCATTTCTCTTGAAGATCCATTTGCAATGAACGACATTCTTTTGTCTAGGCAAGCGCACAACATTCCATGTGCCATTTTCCTCGAGTGACTGCATCTCCTCTTGCATAGCGGATATCCACTTCTCGCGGTCACCAGAAACAACAGCTTCATTGTACGTAGCTAGCTCATGAATGTTCTCCACTTGTTCAGCACAACTAAAGGCATAATGAACCATATCACATTCCTCAATTAAACGTGGATGAGGTCCACAATTCCTCTTTGTTCTGCGATCTGCAATAGACTGATTTTGAGGGTGCAAAATAGGAGGTGAGTGCTGAACAATATCATGAATATTGTTATCAACAATTTTAGTTTCCTGATCATCTACGTGCTCCACCTACACGCTAACCTGTTGCTGCTCCTCATCAGAACCAACTGGAGAAACATTTGTGGACAAACTGTCATTAAACATAACAGATTCATTGAAAACAACGCTCCTACTCGTGAAAGTCTTTTTAGTTTTAGGATTCCATAACTTATATCCTTTAACTCTAGAACCATAACCAAGAAATAGACACTTAATGGCTCTAGGTTCTAGCTTTCCATTATCAACATGAGCATAAGTAGTGCAACCAAAAACTCAACTGTGAATAATCAGTAGGCATACCAGACCATACCTCAATGGGAGTTTTCTTATTAAGTGGGATATAAGGTGGCCGGTTGATCAAGTAACAGGCGGTGTTAGCAGCCTTAGACCTAAAATGCCTGTTCATACAAGCATTAGACAACACGCAATGAGCCCTCGAGATGATGGTTCGGTTCATGCGCTCAGCCACACCATTTTGCTGAGGAGTGTACAGGATGGTGTGGTGCCTAACAATGTCTTCTTCCCTGCAGTAATCATTAAAAGCATCCGAATAGAATTCACCGCCATTATCAGTACGAAGCAGCTTTACCTTCTTTTCAGTTTGCCTTTCTATCATAACTTTCCACTCTTTAAAAAGTAGCAAAAGTATCATCTTTATTTTTCAGAAAATAAGGCCACACTTTTCTAGAGTAATCATCAATAATGGTAAGCATGTAACGAGCACCACCATAAGAGGGCTTATGAGATGGCCCCCACAAATCAGCATGTACATAATCAAGTGTACCTTTGGTGATATGAACAGATGCATTGAATTTTACCCTCTTGTGCTTACCAAAAACACAATGCTCACATAACTTCATCTTACCCACAATGCAGCCATCCAGTAGGTCTCTCTTGATCAATTCTGCCATACCAAGTTCACTCATATGCCCAAGACGCATATGCCAGAGATTAGTCTTACTTGGTTCATCATTAGAAACAGTAGCAGTAGTGACGGAACCATGTAAAGTACTTCCTCTAAGAACATATAACTTTGCATAATTCATATCACCTATCATACCGGTGCAGAAAGTGACCAACACGTAAATATTTGTAGTTTTGCCGTATGTTGTGATCAGATGTGGCCTAGCACTCAATGACACAGGGTTTATACTGGTTCAAGCAACATGCCTTACGTCCTGTCTGAGTCGGTCGGTGACTTTGTTCCTGAGTCCAGGTGCTCGAAGTTTGTTGTGGGGTTACAAACGAAAGGGAGAAAGATGGGGGGTACAAGATGTCCGGTTAGACTCTGGTCTGAAGGGCTGAGAGTGATGTGAACTCCACTATGTGCTAAGTATTTGAGCGGCTGCTCAATGGTTGAACTTGGTGGTTCTGTTGTTGTGTATGAGTGAATTGATTTGATCTCGGTGAACTGATCGACCTCTCTTTTTGGGAGAGAGCGCATCCCCTTTTATAGATGAAGGGGATGGCCTAACAAGTGATAGAGGGAGAGTGTACGTATGCTAAGTCTTATTGCCCACGCCGTCGGGTACAAGATGATTGTAGGCGCCCATAACACTGTTAATGTTAGATGCGTGTGGGAGGTTGTGTTGTCTTCTTTTGGTATGACAGACGTCGGTGCCTGTCATACTGTTGATGCCTAGAGGCATGTAGGGGGTTTTACCACGTTCGCCTGGTATGGTAAATGCCGGCGCCCACAACACTGTTGATGCCCAGAGGTTCGTGGGGGGAGCCTTACCATGTTTGTCTGGTATGGGAGTTGATGGAGCCCACAACACTATAGGAAAATGTTGGCGCCTACAACACTGCTTGGGTTCTGACATGCCAGGAAGGTTGCAGGGTACTGTCCTGCAGGTGTACAGGGTACGGTCCTTGGTATGGCGGTTGACTTGAGTGCACTGCCTTACTTTCTCCACCTATTTCCTGGTCCTTACCGAGCGGGCGTCCTCGGTCGGTTGGTCCATGTCGGCTCTGATTGTGCCAGTCGAAGAAGAGCCGTAAGCAGGGGTTTGGCGCATCCCCGGTCGGAGATGTGGGTCGGTGTCGGAAGTGGTGTTTTGGCTAGGCCTTCCGGTCGGAGAGACCGTCCGGAGGCAGGATCGAGTCGCAAGCGGGCATTGTTCCTACTGAGCGAGGCCTTCCGATCGGAGAGGCGGGCTAGAATCAGAAGCAGGCGTCGTTCCTCCTCTGCCAAGCCTTCCGGCCAGAGATTGGATCGCCCTTCTGGCCTGTCGTTTTAGGTGTTTGGGCTGGCATAGGAGTTTGTGCTTCATTCACAACGTTGTCTGCTAGGCCGAGCCTTTGTTGGGAAGCTGGTCCATGAGGGACCCTAGGTTTATGAACCCGATAGGAGCCCCCGAGCCCCCGGGCGATTCGGGTAGAATCATCTGGGGGATTTTTTGCCTTGACGACGGGTGTAGCCCCCGAGCCCCTGAGCGATTCAGGCATAATCGCCTGGGGGTTTTTCAATGTTGCCAGCGGGGGAAGTTTGTTTCACCAGCGGGTGTGCATGAGCGCAATCGCGGGTGTAGCCCCCGAGCCCCTGGGCAATTTTGGGCAGAATCGTCAAGGGGGTTTTGTCAGTGGGCGTAGTCTCTTCTTTTTGGTTTCTGACCTATCATTTCTGGGAGCATGGTCCTAGGTGTTTGGTTGTGGTTGAGGGACCGGGTGGGACATCGAAGTCATGGATACACGCGGATCTAGGCGTCGGGCGCGCCGTGGGATCGGGTGAGTCAGACTCACGGATCCAGGCATCGGGCGCACCGTGGGATCGGGCGAGTCAGACTCATGGAACCAGGCATCGAGCGTGCTGTGGGATAGGGCAAGTCGGACTCATGGATCCGAGCGTTAGGAGCGCCATGGGATCGGGTGAGTCGGAGTCACGGATCTAGGCGTTGGTCGCACTGTGGGATCGAGCGAGTCGGAGTCACTAACCCTAGCGCAGCCGAGGTGTTTTGGGTGTCTTGAGCCCCTGAGCCCTGTTGGGCTTGGTAGGGGTCGGTTGAGTTTTGTGCGTTACCCCATCCGTGGTTTCTCACAACCGGAGGGGCTGAGCTAACGTCGCTTGCCTCGATGGCTTGAGTGACGCACTCAGTGAGCTCGCTAACGGGCACGTTCGAGTGAAGTCTGGGTCCGTTGTTCATGACGGGGTTGGCATAGCCCTCATGTGGCACTCCACTACTCCTCAACCTGCAACCCAGCAGATACCTGGGTCGCTTCGAAGACTAACTCGGGTGGCCCGCTGGCCTCCCCTCGATGGAGATTCTATGGGTTTGGCGAGAGATTAGGATTGAACAAGAAGGTTGAGATGACCCTGTCTGCTTAGGGGCAGACTGGGTGAGGGCCGCTCAGGGCTCATCTATGTTTTCTCCCCTGACTTTGTTTGACGCGAGGTGGCCTCAAGCCCTTTGTGGGCTGGCCTTCGAACCCCGGTCGGTCGTTTGGTCATGTTGAATGAGGCAACTGCCGCTTCGTGACGCAACACGGAGCGTTGTGATGCATTTAACTGCATATGCAATGCTTTTTGGATGTATGGAATGAATGAATGCATGCATGGATGAATGTATGTTCATATAAAGAAATAGTGGGGTTTGGTAATGTTACCTTGATGACTCGAGTGATGGGGTTTGACGAGCTCCAATCGGATATGTCTGACTGGGATCCGTGCTCGTCGTTCATGACAGAGTCGACAAGGTCCACATGGGGCGTCCCTCTACTCCTTACCTGTCTCTCGGCGTTCGTCTGAGCCATCTGATTGACTCGGGAAGCCTGTTGGTCTCTCCTGGCGGAGATCCCATCGTTGGGCCTTTCCATGTCCTACCTAGGAAGGTGGAGGGCCACCTACGCGCAGTGGCACCTTGTCTCTTGCGCTCGGCATGTGGTAGTGGTGGGCCATACCTAGGCCACGTCCTGTCTGCCCAAGCGCTGTTCCGTTGGGCAGGGTGCGTCCCATCGGTCAGGGCGCATCCATCGTATCCCATCCGCATTGAATGGGGGAAGGGAGAGGGGTTTTCGCGCCCGTCGCTTCGCCTTTCCCCAATCATTGTGCCTTTCCCAACTGCTGTGCCTCTTTCTTTAAGTAGGGGAAGGAGAGGGCTTCTGGCCCATCCCTTTGCCTATTCCTCATCTGCCGCCTCTTCTTCTTCTTCCTTCTCGCCAAGAGCTTTTGAGTGCCACGGTGGTTCCTAGGAGAGAAAAAGGGAGAGCGAGGGAGAGGAGAAAAACTCATAGATCCATTCACAAACCCGGAGCGCAATATCAAGCTGGAGGTCATCAATCGTGAGGGAGTCGGTGCTGGCTGCCTTCGTCGAGAAGGGGTTTCTGCCACTGAAGGAGGTGGTGCACTGGAGGGCTCCTAGGAGGGAGGATTTCCCACAACCTCGGGCCGGCGAAGTTGTTTCCTTCCTTGCCTTCCATAAGCACGGGTTAGGATACCCCACGCACTAGTTCCTATGTGGGCTCCTCAATGAGTGGGGCCTAGAGCTGCAACACCTCAATCCAACTAGGGTGCTGCACATCGCCGGATTCATCACCGTGTGCGAGGCCTTCCTCGGGTTGGAGCCGCACGTAGACCTCTTCCGATGGTTGTTCTCTGGGTGAGCTTTGTCGGAGGGGAAGCCGCTCATGATCGTGTCAGTGGGGGGCTTCACGTCTGTAGAATAAACCGAGCATGTCGGGCTCATACCCTATGGACACCTCCTATGATTCCAATCGGGGGTGGCATGGGGAATGGTTCGACATTAGGAACCCGGCGGAGGCTTCATTCCCGCCTTTCACCGATAGGAGGCCAGAGAGGCAGGAGAGCTGGTCGTGGGCCCTGCTAGCCAGTAGAAGAAGAAGGTGGAGATCATCGAGGTGGAGCTCTAGAAGCTCATGCGGCGTGGCCTTGATGGGGTGCGGGTGTTTCACACCCTTTTCCGCCGTTGAGTCGCTCTGCTGGCAGAGAGGACGCGGCCGATGTGGAAGTACAACGGCCCAACGGACCCCAACCATGCGTCGTCGGAGGAGCTAGTGAACGACGAGGTCTAGAGTCGCGTTGACCAGGTGCTGCAGCTGAGGCCTAAAGAGACCCTCGACAGAAAGCCCAGAGCT